ATTTTTATATAATCTCTTACCTGCATATACATTCTCTATAGTTTCAATTGCCCAACTCTATTTACATAAAAGCAGAGGAAACTTATCAAAAGCATGTTTAATGACATGAGACAGCAAGTAAATACGGAACACACCAAAAATGGCCAACTGCAAGAAAGAGTATGAACTCTCCTCAAGTTTAACAGCACTGTTCGATTTATAGCTCTTGTTTGGATTTCCAGATACACAGTCCTTTGGACATTGTTTCTTTGCTTCTTGTTATTTTGGTTAAAGCTGGATGGTGATTAATTTAAGAATATTATTCTACTTGACCCTGCAGATACTTTTTTCTTCAAGGAGACTGATGGCTGTCATGAATTTGTACTTTTGGCTCATGGTAATTCAATGAAGGAAGGAAAGAGATTTTCCTGCTGACATGTTGGTAATTTCCCAGCACTGTTCAGCAGGTTTTGAGAAATTATTCACAAAGACAACAAACTTTAACGCCATCTCAGTCTCATTTGTTTATAAAAGTCTAGCAACAAAGTACGACGAGTCTTTTAATGGTGGTTCCTGACTGGTCGACTAATATCTGGTGTTTAGAAACCTAAAAAGACATTAAGTAATGTTCTAATTCACAAAGTAAATATATGCACTAAGTTACTCTGGAGAGACCATTGTACTCACCACGTCCATCTGCTCTGGAGATGCTGAAGAGTAGGACAATCTCATATAAGCTCTAGGAACTGAACTATCGACGTAGAAAGCATTTCCAGGAAGCATGAACACCTAAGAGAGTTTGTGGAAAATCAGTAATGTGGCCATTGCTCATTACAAAAACTACAAGGAAATACAGGTAAACCTAATCTCAGAGTGGGGAAGGATGTTTTAAGTCTCAATGCAGTTTGAGAAATCATAAGAAAAAATCAATTATATAAATATTGTGTATGTCATACAATAAATGAAACTATATGCATAGAAACAGGAAAATGTTTACAATATGGCAAATGCCATCTCCTGTTGATATATAAGGAATCCACAGAAACAGAGAAGAAAAACACTCAAATTCTAGCTTTAATGTGCAAAGGACAGCTCACTAAAGAAATAGAAATAGAAATAATCACAAACGTTTAACCTAACTAGAAAAGTAATATAAATTTGAGTAATGAGATACCATTTTTAAGTAATCAAGTTTGAAATGACTGCATTTCCGTTAAGTTAGACCAGATGAATAATTACGTAACCCAAAAACCTGTTACGATTTTAATAATGAGATAACGCATCTAATATCAGAACATTATGAGTTCAGTGGTGGGCAGCAAAAAACATCTCTTTCCATTTCCATTCAAGTAAAAAATGACTTTAAAGAAAAAGCGTAACTTTTCTTCAGGCTTCCCCATCCCTCACCTCCCAATTTTACCTCTTTCTTAATGGCTTTTTCTTCAATCAGTTGTTTTACATCAGAAATGCCTTTAATTTTAATCCATAAAAACATTCCAGCAGTAGGAAC